GGAGCTGGCGCATATCGCAACGCGGCGCCTCCGCCGCCGGCTCCGGATCTTTGGCGCGGCGCTGGCCCCGAGCTGGAAGCGCGGCTGCGCCGGCGCGCCCTGCCCCTCGAGGGGGCCGGAGGCGCGCTCACGGGGCGCCGCTCTGAGCGGGCAACTGCGGAGGCGGCGGGGCGGGCGCTACCGGAGGCCAAACAGTACTGGTTGACGGTTGTGCCCGAGACCTGGGAGGTCGCGCCGATGGATCGCGAGGAGCCCCCACGAGAAGCCCCGGGGGCCCTGGAGCTGGGGCAGCCGCTGCTGGATGAGGCTCGCCGCCACCGCGCCGCGGGCGTGAGCGTCGCCGAGGACTCGAGGAGGGCCGCGGGGTCGGACGGGGCCGAGACGGTCGTGGAGGCCGACGAGGTTTGTGACCTGGACTGGGCCAGGCTCGGCGCCGCGGGCCCCGAAGAGGGCCCCGTTCCCAGCATTGACGCCACCACCGTCGTCGACCCCGTCGTCACCGCCTGCGCCATCGTCAGCGCCGACGCCAACGCCGACGCTGACATCGACGCCGATACACGGGCTGGCACCGGGGCCGCCTCCTGCGACGCTAGCGCCGACGCCCCCAATGTCACCGCCTACACCGACTACAACGCCAGCGACGACGCCAGCGCGGACGCCTACGCCGAGGCCGCCGCCGAGCCCGACGCCGGCGACCGCGCCCCCGGCTCCGACGCCTATGAGGACGTTGCCGCTTCCGCGGCCGCCAGCGCAGGCGCCAGCGCCCACGCTCCCAACGTCACCGCCGACGCCGGCGTCAACGCCCTCGGTTGCGAGGCCCGCGTGGGCGCCGCCGCCCACCCGGCGGCGAGCGCAGGCGCCAGCATCGACGCTATCGCCCTCACCCGCTCGGAGGCCGGCGAGGTCTGGGCCGCGCGTTGGTCCAGACCTGGCGCCAGGGGCTCCGACGTGGGACTCGGCACCCGCACCGACGCCAGCGTTGAGGTCGGCTCCAGCATCACGGCCTGCGCCAACGTCAGCGCCAGCACCGACGTCCGCGCTAACGCCGACGCCTCCGATGCCGATGCGGGCGTTGCCGCCGCCGCGACCGCCAACGCCGCGACCGGCGCCGACGCGTGCACCACCGCCAGCCCCGACACCGGCGCCTTTGCCAGCACGGACGGCGAGGTCTGGGACTTAGAGTGGCTCCGGCTCGGCGCTGACGCGGGCCCCGCTACCGGCATCGGCGTCAACGCAGACGTCGTCAGCGGCGTCACCGCCTACGCCGAAACCAACGCCGCCGCCGACCCCAGCGGCGGCCCCGACGACGCCGCGACGGCCGGCGTCAGCAGCGATGCCATCGCAGGGATCGGGGCCGACGCCGACGCCGATAGGGACGTCTGCACGGGCACCGGCGCCCGCGCCGCCGCCGGCGTCGACGCTGGCCCCAACGTCAGCGACCGCGTCACCAGCACCACGCTTCCGCACGCGCGCGCTTGGCTCCGCAGGCTCCGTGCCGCTTACGCGGGCTTCCACGCGCGCGCGCGCTGCCCGTTCGGCTTTCTGTCGCGCTTAGCGCGACGCGCGCGTCTCGGGCTCTTCGCGGCTTCGCGCCGGCGGGCCGGCGCCGCGCGATCGGGGCACGTTGGTCCCCTGCCTAAGCGAGGCCGTGGGGGCCAGCTCGGGCGTGAGCCGCGCGCTGCCGGCGGGGCTTGCCCAGCCGGGGTGCCGCAACTGCCCTCGCCGCCACCGCCGTGGGCCGCTCCGTGCCTGCCGAATCGCGAGGACTGCCGCGCGGGCGACTCCACCTCCGCCACTGCTGACGCCAGCGCCGACGTCGACGCCAACGCCGCCGCCTGCTCCGATAGCGACGGCAGCGCCGACGCTGACGCGGGCGCCTACGCCGACGCTGAAACCTTCGCGGAGACCGACACCGACGCCGGCATCGACGTGACCGTCTACACTGGGACCAGCGCCTGCGCTGCCGACGGCGCCCGCGCTGGCACTGGTGCCCGTGCCCACGCCGGCGCCGCCACCAGCCGCAGCGCCAGCGACAGCGCCACCGGCGCCGACGTCGCGGTCGCGGGCGTGGTCGCGCACCAGGGCACGCACCATGGGGTGCACGCTGCTCAGTTCCGCTTCTTAGCTGGCGCGCAGTGGAGGTTCGTCCCCGCCCGGGTCCAGCCGGGCGGGGTGTCCATCACGGGTGCCCATTCTAGGCTCGTCGAAATCGGCCAGGACGCGCAGCCGAAGGCCGACGCCGCCCTTGTCCAGCAGGCCGTAGGACCTGGGACGGCTGTTCCGGCCAAGCTCGACTCCATCGTGCAGGACGTGCCGCGGAAAGCCGACCTTGCGGACTCCGACGCCAGCGCCCGCGCCGGCGCCGCCGCGAGAGTCGGCGTCAGCACCGATGCCAGCGCAGGGGCTGGGACCAACGCCGACGCCGGCAGGGACGTCGGCACGGGCACCGGCGCCCGCGCCGTCGCTGGCGCCGACGCTGGCCCCAACGTCGGCGACTGCACCACCGGCTACGCGCTCCCGCACGCTCGGGCTTGGCCCCGCAGGC